GGTACCAAGAGTGTTGATTGCAGAGCCAAGCAAACTGAAGCTATCAACAATTTCAATCTCTTCACCATCTATTATGATGCTGCCAATCAGCCTAGTGGTGAGAATCTTTGTTTTCTTGATGTTGAGCCTCAATTCATACTGAAGGCTGCCGTCCTTGACCTCCTCAGTTTCAGCAAGCAGGATTGTGTCACCTGCATAACGCAAATTGTTGATAATTCTTCCTCCAATCCTGATGTCACACTTCTCCTCATAGAGCCCAGCCTCCCGGATAATCAGTTCTGCATATAGATTGAAAAGATATGGAGATAGGACACATCTGTGATGCACACCCTTCCCAATTATGAACCATTCAGTGTTTCCTTGCTCTGTTCTGATGACTGCCTCCTGGTCCAAGTATAAGTTTGTTTGTTTGTTTTTTAATTTTTATTTTATTTTTTTTTCAAGTATAAGTTTTGCATAAGCACAATCAAGTGTTCTGGGATTCCCATTCTTCTCAAAGTCAGTCACAGTTTGTTGTGATCCACACAGTCAAATGCCGTTGCAGTCAATGAAACACAGATAGACATTCCTCTGGTACTCTCTGCTTTTAGTCAAGATCCATCTGACATTAGCTATATGAGAAATCCACTCCCAAAATTCAATGGAAATTTAAAAGTGAAAACTCAGCAAAATTGGAGAGATCAAACACCACTCTGCCTGTTGTACGTGGGATAGCCCTTGTGAGACTTATATGTTGAATCTATGTCCTGGGATTATTGAGAAAATTAAATGTGTTATCTGTAAAACACTTAACTTGGGTGTTTTCTTGTTGCTATTAGAGGCTGTCGAGTCAATTCCTATTCGTATAGATCTGCCACTACAGAATTCAAATGTCCCATAGAGTCTCCCAGGCTGTAATCATTATGGAAACAGATCACCAGATCTTTTTTTACACAGCTATGCGTGTGTTCAAACTACTGATTCTCTGGTTAGCAGTCAAAGGCTTTAACCACCAAACTACCAGGGCTTCTTCATATAAGTGTTTCAGTTGCTGATAAATGGTCAACAATTTTTTATTTTAAAAAATAGACAAATACTTCCTGCCAATCAATCAACCACTGTCAGTGAGTTAATTCTAACAATGACTTCGTAGGATAAAGGAAAATTATCTCATAGGGAGAAGGTTGTGACCTTTCTGAAAGCACACTCCCTCATCTTTCTCTGTTGGAGAAGGTAGGTTTTGAACCATTGCTGTTTAGGTTGGCAGTCTAACACTAATCCTACCACACCACTGCGGCTCCTTCTCTCTCTCTCACACACACAGACACACCCACAGACACACACACAGAGACACACACACACACACACACACACACACACACCCCCAGGAGGATGCTTGAGTGAAGTGTTCTGTAGAGGGAATGATAACAACACACACACACCCAGGAGGATGCTTGAGTGAAGTGTTCTGTAGAGGGAATGATAACAAAACAAAAAACAAAAAAGACCTGCACCTCCTGGAATGGGGGTGGTGGTGTGAGGGCTTCATGGAGACAGGAATCCAAGTGTGATAGGACACCTGTGGTCCAGAGGCATGTGGTGGGTTTAGTGTCAGGAAGTTTGTTTCAATTGGGAGGGTCGGGCCATTCCATGAGGGTCCTTGAAGACTGGAGCCCTTGCCCAGTCCACCATGGGATTATGGCACACAGTGGGAGCAGGGGATGTGGTGTATTGGGCAGCCATCATTTGCAGGATACCAGCTCTCTTTTCAAATATTGATGGTGTGGTGTATAACGTTATCAAGCTGCTAGTCAAAATGCTGGCATTTCATATCCTCCAGGCTCTTTGGGGGGGAAACAAGGGCAGTCCCTTCTCACAGACTTATGGTCTTGGAAACCTGGTGGAAGGTGGCTGTGAGTCAGGACTGACTAGACAGTAGTGGAGGGTTTTTTTTATGCCCTTTTTTTCAGTCCAGTTACCCTGGCTGATATGGTCTCACAAGTCCCCTGAGTTACCACTTCCCTGACCTGCAAGCTTGGAGTCCCTTCTGTTCCTGCTGGATGCCCTTTGGCCCAAGAATTTACTACTCAGCTTTCGCAACCCTTTCTTAAAATTGCATTTTTTCGGTAGGATGCCTGTGCCCATTGAAAGGTTCTTCCGGAAAGGAAATGAGAAGGGAGGAAAAAGTCCCAACAACGCTCCGTTCTTTCAACAGCAGTTTACGGCCACACGTCTGAGCGCGAGCTCTCGCGTGTGCACCACTTCCTCTCTCCTATTTTCTTTGGAAGGGAGCACATTATCATTTAACAAGTAACAATGATAATGGGCCAGAGCCTATCAATGATCCAAGGTCACTGGGATACTCTTGGAATATAAATTCTCATTGGGCTGCCAGGTTTCATATAGAAGATGCACTGGAAGTCTCTAAAGGATATACAATTTATTCTGAGTGTTTTTCAACTAGGTCCAGCTTTCCAAAGGCTCTTCCGGACATGGTCTTGGTGTTCTTCCATCTCAGTTGTTGTTCTTCTAATTTTTTTTCAAAATTTTATTGTGTTTAAGGTGAAAGTTTACACAGCAAATCAGGTTCCCTTTTTAGTAATTTCTGCACCATTTTTTTTTCAGTGACACTGAAGACACTGTCCATAAAGTGTCCTCATTTACTCCATCTGGAGTACAATTTCCAGTACTCCGGCTTCCTTGTCCCTCACCTGCTCATTTCTGTTTTAGAGTAATTTCTGACTATTTGGTCTCCTAGTATTGTGGGTTGTTTTCTTTCTTTTTAGGAATTTCATTATTCACAGACAGTCTTCATTTTATGATCTCCCATTACTCAGCTAACAGGTGACCTTAAGGGAACATTTAAGTGTATTTCAGGAAGAAAAGCTTCTGGGAAAAGCTTCTAGTCTTAAACAGCCCAGGAAGTCTGGGCTTCTTGAGAATTTGAGTCCTGTTGCACATTTTTCTCGAATTTTGGATCCATCCAATATGACCCGGCTCTGAACAGTCAGTAATGATTGCTGGGCACTATCAAGTTCTTCTGGTCTCAGAGTAAATAATTCGTTTTAGCTCAGCTTTGGAACAACTAATGTGATGAGGATTAACACTGTGGTTATCAACTGTGAATAAGGATCCCTAAGAGAGTTAATGTTTTAAAGGAATTATTTGCATGCATGAAAGGTTGATAGAGAGTGTATTGCTTTAGCTACTGTATTTGCTGCCCCAAATGGTAATATTGTATATGAAATGGAATAAATACGATGTACACATGAGACTTGCAGAAGGTTTTTAAAAAAGAGCAGGGAAGAAAGAAGAGATCAGATACTAATAACCAGACTCAGCCTGGTGGCAGGTGCGTTAAGGTGGCTCCAATTCATAGAGACAGTATACAATCCTGTACCAAGCTCACATCTCTGCTGTGCTCAGGGCATTGTTCTTGCCATTGAGTCAATTCACCTTATTGAGGGTCTCCCTTTCCTTTAGTGACCTCTACTTGTCCAAGTAGAGGCCAGTTGTTTTCTAAGGACTGATCCCAAGGTGAAACTTAGCCTAGTTGAATGCAATAAAATGCCAAGAAACACAAGCAGCAACAAATTAAGACATTTAGGAAATATTTTGTGTAAAATTCTTTTTAGGTATTTTCTCTTGGTCTTTAGAAAATTGAAGTTTTATGGCAGAAGAGATCTTTATTAGGCAGAGAGCTGAGATGATTTATTGATGGACTCTTTCAATATAACTACAGTGAAGTCACTGGCTCACTTCTATGGAATGAGGTGGTTCAGAAGTCATTATTGTCAGAACTCAATAGTGACCAACCATGGGACAGCTTAGTTATACTAACTAATTTCAGACCCTGATGGTATAACGGTGTAAGCCTTGAGCTAACAGAAAAGCTGGGGTTTGAACTCACTGGCTCCATACAGGAGAAAGTTGTGATAGTATGCTTTCATATGTCTTAGAAAGCTTGTGAGATGGTAGTACTGTGACCTACAGGGTCACTAGGAGTTGGAATCAACTCTATCAATCCTAGTTGATGGCAGTGGGTACATCCCTGGGTAGGAGGCCTGGTGGTGCAGGGATTAAAATGTTCAGCTGCTGACCTCAAGAGGGAAGGTCTGAACTCATCAGCCATTTGAGAGAGACAGAGGAGGCAACTTTTTGGAGGAAGTGCAGCCAGAATGCTCTTTAGCCATGAGGATGGTGAGCTTTGTGTCTTGCATGCTTTGGACACATTATCAGGCGGGTTATGTTCCTGGAGGAGGATCTCATGCCTGTTAGAGGGTCGCAAGGAAGAGGAAGTCCCTCAGGGAAAGAGACTGATGCAATGGTTGTAACCACAGGTGAAACCCAGCCACTGCTGTGAGGATGGTGCGGGACCAGCCAGCATTCCCTTCTGCCCTACGTTTGCCGCTGTGAAACAGGTGGGATTTGACTACATCCAACACCATCATCCTTACTAGAATTCCTATCCCCAGATGACTGGGAGTAATTACCAAAAAAAAAGAGTTTTCAAGATTTATGGCTGAACCAACCCACCACTATTAGTGTTGGTTTTTTGAACAGTATGATAAAGATGACTTCGACTATTCTTGTTTTTTCCATAATTAGGAGATTAGTGTAGATGAATGACAAGGATTACAAATCTACTTCTCTGAACATGACATACAATAAATGGTCAAAGCTCTGGTGACCCACAAGTCCAGTAACTAATTTGTCAGTGTCCCCACTGTCAAGGTGAACAACACCTGCTAAGTGGCCCTTACCATCCCCACCCCCACCCCTTGCATTATTTAAAGCAGCGTTCCTGTTGAATTGCTTCTCGTAAGCATCTTTACATAGGGGTAGGTGTGTGGCCTAAATAACAATCGGCCCATACATTTCTTATTGGGAGTTGATGTGAAGACTCAGTCTCAGTATCTTCAACTTTAAAACAGTCTAGATTTACTGGACGTGGTAGGAATTCTAGGAAAAGGTGGATGAGAAAGGAGGAGAGTAAAATCAAGGCAAGGCAGATCTCTTACCAGGTTCCTGTTGTATTTTGTGATTGTTTTTAAACCAGGTGATCTGAGGCTCTGGGACACCTTTAGCAGGACAGTCTAAAGTGGTGGAGTTGCTGATAGCCACGGTTTGATCACTGAGGTTTCGAAGAAGGTACGGTGCTTCCTGATCTAGTGAATAAAGAAAGGGAATTATGATTACTTATAAGCTTTATCCCTTTCCACCTACACAGATTCTTATCTTAAATACAAACAGCAGCAAAAACCAATGCCAGGTTTTCTTTTGGATCTTATTTCGCAAGTTTCTCATTCATGGTTAACATACTGCTTCTTACTCAGTAAGTTGTGACAATAAATTGAAATCTGTCAGGACAGAATCAAATGAAGAGCAGAATGCAGTCTTAAAGTTTCAAACCCATTTCCTTCCTTTTTTGAGGGGATGTTTTTCTAAAACCCAAGGGAGTTGCATACTATTTTAGAAGATTAACAATGAAAAGTGTGATTTTGTAAAGGGGGTGTGATGATCTTTGTACCCATGTACAACACTGGGATGCTGTGCTCAGAGTTTCGTGTGTCTCTTTATTTATGTATTTGTGAGCATGTGTGTTACTTCATCTCTTGATGGTAGACTAAGTTGCAAGGCAGAAATTCTTTTTTTTTAATTTTTATGAATTTTTTGTGTGTACTGTCAAATTGGACCCGACCGGTACAGGAGGAGATTGCTCCTCCTTCTCCAGCAGAGCATCCGGTGGATTCAAACCGTGAGCCTTAGGGATTGCAGTGCAGCTTCTTGCCACTAGGCCAACCTGAGCTCCCTCAGGAGAATTTCTTGACCTCTGAAAGCTTCCCAACTGTTTCATCCCTCTGTTCCCTCCCCAAGTGCAAGTGCAAAGAATCAATTCAAGAGACAAAGGCACAGATTTGCAGTTTTTTGCACTATATAATAGTACAAATGGTATATTTTATATTATTTTCTCTTAAAACATACACATATGATACAATACAATTTTCTTTTAATTAAATGCTAATCAAATATAGTACATCACAATGAATTTAATACATTAGGATGCAATAATACATTACAACATTGAAATCCCACATGGGTACAGAAACATCCCCAAGCCCCAACAAGTACAGTGTCTCCAGTTAATCGAGTGAGTGGGTGCATTCAGTCCTGCTGATGTGTAGACATTTTAGGGGAGTGGGGACTGGATCTGGTAACCCGAGCTCCCAACATAAAAAGAATGAATTAACTCCTAATATCTTTCCGCTTCCCTGTGCCATCTCTTTCCCCTCCAACCCTTGTCGCAAATGCTGGAACAGAAGTCACAAGTGCTTGATTGTCACACTTTCTACACATCACTGGTTTCAACTGCCCGCGCTTCCTCTGATGTCTCATTTCATGTCAGTGCATGTCCACTGCAAATATACTAGTGATTATGGTACTACTGAAAGGGTGCCCATCAGTGTCTCTGAGTCCATGGCCCCTGCAGGAGTTTGCTGAGCCTCAAACCCTTCTCCTTCACTGCTACTGGTTACCATTCACTACCAGCTGGGTACAAATCCTAGGTTAAACAGAACACAATCATGTCACTTTTAGAACATGTGGAAGTAATATAACACTGTGGGGTTACCATCTGTTTGGAGGAACAAATTTCTCATTCAGTTTAGATCCCCACAGCTTATGATTAGTCTTCTCTCACTGGAAGTAGGAAGTAAGGCAATAAGAGTGTCAACAGTGGTGCCTGGATTTCTAGACTGTCCTTCCCACACAATGTGGAACCAATGCCAGTTACTCTCCTGCCCTCTCTCTGTGCATCTTTCCTGTTCTGTCTCGCCCCCGAGAGGCAGAACCATGGAAGTATTTCTGGTTTGGCCTCTGCAGAGTCTGTCAGCTTTTCCTCATTGAAAATACAACCGTGTGTCAACCCCTTCAATTGATAATAACTGTTACACGCCCCATCAGTACAATTTTGACATTTTCATGTTGTAGATATAGTCCAAATATATCGGTGAGACATGATGAGATAATAAAGCACAGATCATGTTACTATTCAGGGTCTTTTATAGTGGCCTGCCATCCTCTGACAGATCCCATTTAAAATTCTGTTCTAGTTCACCGAGCTAGGTTCCTCATAGTTTTCTCAGCACAGCTACTATTTTCCTGAGCCATAAATAGGATGAAATAACCTGTCCTTGCCCGTGTGCCTTACTAGAAAAAGGAAGTCTCATTAGAGGACTCCCAACAACTCAATTATTACTTAGCTAACAACATAACATTACCAACAGAGACAGCATTTGGCTTTCCTTGATGTTGGGAAACAATACTAATATAGAAAAGAACCTTTTTATTTGAACAGAAATGTCATGAGGGACTCTCAGAGGCCCTATCTGTGCATCACATACTTTAGACAAGAGAAGCAGTGAGAAGGCAGCTAGACACACACAAACTTCTCAGCTAAGCACGAGCCTTGGTTTTTCTTTGTACCCTTTTTGCTCTGGAATGCCTCTTCCAGGGCTATTTTCTAGGTGACCGGATTTAGTGCCTGAACCAACTGAGAAGTCAGCTCATGAGTTTGTTTTGACACTGGAAATAAGCAAGGTCCACTGGAATCATCCTTGAAAATCTGAGTTGCTAGATGGAGGCAGATGATGGACTGCCCAACATGTAACCAAGGTTTTCACACTGAGACAAGTGAGAAGGAACAAGCTCTCTCTCTGGGTTATGAAAAGCCAAAGACATTCATTCCCCAGCAGGCTCATTCTTTTCTTTCCATTGAGCCACCAGGTCCCATAAGTCCACAGTACATTCTCCATTTGGAATGGGGACTAAGGAACCAGCCTCTTATCCCCTACTATGCCTCAACTAGACTTCACACACTTTTAAAATTTTTATTTTTATTGTCCTCCTTTCTCTCTTTCTTGTTATCCTCTCCAAAACACAAGCGTTAAAGTGGTGGTGGTGGGGTTTAAGGCTCTGCCCAATGTGACTTCTTTATTTTTTGGTTAGCAGCATAACTTGTCGTGGACTGTGCCACCAGAGTGCCACTCCTCTCTCTATTTTTAAAAACTCTCTGGAAAGGATTCATTAATTCAGTGAATAATTAGTGACTCCCATTCTTAAAGTCAACTTTTGGAAACACAGAAAATCATCTTCTGGAAATGTCTTTACCATGTTAACATCCCCCCTTCCTCAGGAAAAATGCCTGTTTCATGTTGCCATGTTGCTCCAAACCTAAAGCCACTGCTATTGAGCCAATTCTGAGTCACAGTGACCCTCTGGGACAGATCAGAACTGTCCCACTGGGCTTCCCAAGCTGTCTTTATGGAAGCTGACTACCACATCTTCCTCCTGCAGAAAGGCTGGTTGAGTTTGAACCACTGATCTTGGAGTTAGTATCCAAGTACTTTCACCACTACATCATCAGGCTTCATAAGTGAAATTTTTAGAGGAAAGAAATGGTAAGCTCTTCAAGCCCAACTTGCCATCTTTACACAACAAATTCCAGGATCATTCCTTTTGCTTTTTCAGCTTGAAAAAAAGCCCTGAAGCTTTTGTTTCCTGAGGGAACACATGCTGACTTGGAACGAACAAAGAAGCCAGGCGTGCAGGGAGCTATAGGTAAGACTTCACGCTACAATTGATTATTCTTTCCTTTGGGTTGACAACTTCCAGGTGACTAATTGTTTTCAGAGCACTTGGGGCTCCCTCATGCTGGCATTCTGGGGAAATGGCATTGTTTACTCTTTCACACACGACAAAAGCAATTCCCATGTGAAAGACAAGTTTAGCCCGTGGGACAGAATCTGTTACTCAAAGGAGGAAACAGTCTGGTGAGTTCCCAAGGCCGAAAGCTGTCCTCTCTGTTACCACCCCCACTCCATCTACTTTGTTCTGTAGCCATGGCTATTTTGGTCATTCCAGTTAGTTTTCCTATGGGCAGGTCCCATAGAATGATCGATCATAAATGCAAATCACCTTAACGATGCCTATGCAATGGCTGAAAAAAAGCCCCCTTTCTCCACAAAGACAGGACAGGATGTATTGTTTCAATAACTCTGGATTCTATTTCTGTACAGTTACTATTTCTTAATCCCTATAAGGAACGAGAGGAATCATGTTAATTTTGGCCTATGGAGAAAGTGGACTTTAAAAAAAAAATGGACACATTGTAAATTTACACATGGAATAATATATTCAACCAGTGGCCATAACTGTCTCTACTTTCTGAATAAACTCAGTGGGGTACATTTTCAATGCCATCTTTTTAACACAGTAAAGTCTTTTAAAAGAATTCCAGGGGGACAGAAGTGTCTAAAATTAACACATGCCCTACATTTTTGGAGGTGCCTTCAAGGATCCCCATTAGCTCTGTGATGGCCATGAGGAGGGACCCCTTTGCTGGCCCGTCTGCTCCCTACTCAGAATAGTAGGAGATGACAAAGGGAACACTGGGCTGGCTGAACATCATCCTTTGTGACAGGTCTTTATCCCATCAACCTCAGTTGTCCTATTCAAAAGCTCCAGTTTATGATGGATAAGATTATTGTTGGGAAAAAAATAATAATAATTAAAAAAAGCATTTTCAAATAAATAAGCATTATAACTCTATCCAGGTCCTATTTACAAATCAAGAGCCGAGGAGACAGTGTAACAGAAAATCAGGCGGCAGTCCCAGTGCAACGTCTCCAAGTCAGCTGGGCTCCTCTTGAGCTAGAAGACGTACTCATCCAAAGTCCATGGTAGGCGGGAAACCAGCATCTGCTTTAAATTACGCAGTTTGTGCAACTTGCGAAATGTAAAGATGGAAAGAGGTTGGCGTCAAAGTGGAAGGAAAAGCTCAGTCCCCAGCTGGTGTCCAGCAGGCAGGAGAGGACAGCAAAGAGCAGACACAGAAATGAAGCGGAGGGATCATCCAAATTGAAACTCGCACCAGGTCGGCCATGCGGGAGCGCCCCAGGCTGGGACCTTGAGGGAGCGCCATTATTACTCCCGTCATCTCCAAACTCTTATTTGTTTATTGATTGATTATTTTTTTTAGGAGGAGCATGTCCTCGGAGCCTGAAGGTCAGCAACAGTGACAATAAATCAAGATGATAGGAGACAAACTGTTACTTTAGAATGAGTCCTTTAATGTTTTACATTACTTTGTGTGGTACAATCATTCCTTGCGCTTTTAAATTTGGAGATCCGAGAGAAAACAGCCTTTTTGTTGCAGTGCTCACCTCGAATTGTCACTTCTTTCTTGTGTAGTCTCTCTTCTCCTGTGAATTTGTTCCTGGCTTTGCAGGCATAAGTGCCTGAATCTTCCAGAGAAACATTTCTGATGACCAGAGGCACAGTCAAGGAGTACTCCTGGATGCTGGCCACTGACTGCTGGTTGAGATTGTGCTGTGTGGTCTTGTTATTCACGGTCCGCAGCAGAATCCAGGTCACGTCTTTGTACAGGAACTTATTCACCGTGCAGGACAGCTTCAGGTCCTCTCCTTCAGTGGGCATTTTTTCCAAGTGAACGTGAAATCCGTGGAGCACATCTGTAAGACAAGGAGAAAGAACGTTGAGCGTACAGAAAACAACATCAAGAGACCACGATCAGAGGGCCTTGAAGAGCTGTGCCTACAGAGTCTCACACGGCATCATGAAAAGCATGAGTATTGACCTTTGGAGTTGGAAATGGGTCACATCGCGCAGGGAGGAACCAACAACATTCCATCAGAATTGAGGCAAGGAGTGTAGCACTAAAAATGAAGCCATCAAATAGATGCAACTCATAACAAGTGTGTAGGGCAGAGCAGGACCCCCCACAAGGTTTCCACAGCTGTCCCCACTGTGGAGGGAGACTTCATCTTTCTCCTGCTTCCTTAGCAGCTGGTGAGTTTGAACTGCTGACCTCTCACTTAGCAGTCAATGCCTTCACCACAGCACCACCAGAAATGCTCACATAGATATTAGGATGGTACTCTCACCTCATTTGCCCAAAGTTACTGTTTAAAGTGGAATTTATTTTCCCAGCTTAGGGTGATAACCATGCTTCCCATTTCTTTATCAGCGGTAAGATTTCACGGAGCAAATGGGTAAAGGAGTGAAGAGATAGGGGTGTGAGGTATGTTAGAGGTTTGAAGGTGGCAAAGGGCCGAGGGTTGGAGTTTTTACCAATCTCTGTTGTGCCAGTGTCAGTCAGCCTGCCATTTTAAAGTTTTTGAGCTTTATGCCACAATTCTCCCTACTCTAACCAGGAATTTCTACTGTTGACCCCTTGTAGAGTGGTGAGCGATGGTATATGCACACCATGTATTTCTTCTGGTCTATTTAAGGTGGCCAGTAACACCAGAGAGGCACTTACTCTTTAGGATAAACAGTTAAAGTCAAAATAGCGGCACCTGCCGAAGGATAAAGCCCTGACAGCAGGAAGGAGTAGATCAGATGGATGAGATTTATAGGGAGAAAGTGGGGAAATGGGATTACACTGCATATTACAATTAATGTTATACCACAAAATGTGTATGGATAGTTAAATAAAAAATGAATTTGCTTGGTAAATGTACATTCAAATCAGTTTTTTAAAAAAACAAAAACAAAAAACCAAACAACTAGGGAGTTCTGGTGGTCTACTGGCAAGAAGCTGTGCTGCAATCCTGAGGGCACACAGTTCAAATCCACGAGACACTCTGCTAGAGGAGGGGCAATCTCCTCCTGTACCAGTCGGATCCGATTCGACTGTGCACACATCATCATCATCATCATCATCATCAATAAATAATAATAATAAAAGTAACGATTCCAGGGAGAAAAAAATAGTGATAAGCCATTTGGACTAAAAGCTGAAACTCAGTCTTACCAGAACAGATTGCTAAGTGGGATCAAGCAAAGAAATGGAAGGCTCAAGTACATGCTAGAAGATTTAATGAAGAGAGTCATCCTCATTCTATTCCTAACCGCTTTTAGTAGAAACCAATCAACTTCCCAAATTTCCTGCCATCTGAGGGAAGACCAGCCTCTTCCCACTGCTGTCTGTGACAGCCACCACTGGTCTCTATCAGCTCTGTGGAAAGCCATCAAGATGTCTTCTGAAGATGCTGACAGGGACTGTGGACAAGATTTCACAGTGAGGTGGGGCGCATGGAAAGTCATTGAGGGGGAAAAATTTACTCTCAGAAACATTTTAAGCATTTTCTAGAAGTGATATGTCATGAAAGACCATTTGCTCCCACACCCTTCCCGAGGCAATGTTCATGCCATCTCTAAAGGTCCTCCAAGTCCTCCTATGCAGTCCTCTTGAGGGATCCTCCCCTGCCCCAGCATTTAGTGTTTGGGGGCTTCAGTCTGTCACTCTGTTTCACAGAGGAGTTTAAAAAAAAATCACTGGTCCCTGGCCCTGAGGTGACCTGCTGTCAGCGTCCGCCCCTCTGAGCTACTGTGGCCCAGCTGCATTGGAGCAAAGAATTTGGGCCAACATTTCACAAAGTACTTTGAAGATGAAAAGCATTATGTTATGCTATTATTATGATTATCATCCTCTGCACACAAAGCTCCAAAGAAACCTTTTAAACCTTAAGGGGACAATAGTCCAAAATTAGATGTCACATCAACTCCTTTCCTACATCTCTCTTTGCTTGTTTTTCTGAATTTTACTGGGCTTTGGCTTCATTATAAAGTGGCTCGTCTGAAGGAATGCCAAGTATTCATTTGAAACCTGGGAGCGGTGGGTAACAGTGGCTTATGAAGCTGTCAGTGGTCGGAGAGAGAGAGAGGCGACTTTCCTGCTTTGTAAAATGCAAGCTAAGAGTGTTCCAGAAGATGCAGCTGACAGTTGTATATTAGCACAGCAGTGTTGTGAGGTGCCACCCAGTTGATTCTGACTCACAGTGAGCCCATGTGACGGAACAGAACTGCCAGGTAGGACTTCTGAGGCTGTCACCGTTTATGAGAGCAGCTGGCCAGGTCTCCCTCCCGCTGAGTCACTGGTCGGTTCAAACCGTCAATCATTCAGTTAACACACAAGCGCTAACTTAACCATTGTGACACCAAGACTCTGTTGCCTTAAGATATCAGAAACAGCTGCTCCAACTGAGCATCTTTTTTTTGGTGTGGAATATTTTCTAGGTGTGAGAAGTCAAGACATCAGGCATCAGCTTTCACACCAACACGAGAGCAGCAACATGGCACCCTGGTTACAATCCTCTCCTTTTCTCCCCCAAAACCACCACCTTCGTCACCCAGGCATTCTCATTCTGGCTGTCACTACCCGAGTGAGCCCAAGTAACACCATTGAGATCACGTCCAGCGTTTCTGTTTACTTTAGTGATTTGAAACTTCCTGTGGAAATAGCTCACAGGTTTCCTGATGGAAGATTTTGTTTATCTTTGCCAAGCACCACCAGGAATCTCAAAATAAAATGCATTTAGTGACATTGGGAAACCAGGGAGATAAGGCAGCTCTGTTCCGGTTTCACCCTCTGTAATTGGTAACACACCCAAAGTGCCAGCAAAATAGCAAAAATACACACATGGGAAGAGGGGAGCTCAGGCCGGTGTGTTCTGGGGGTGACACCATCACTGAAGCAAATACAGTTGATGGATGTTACAGATACCGGGCAGCCTCTTTGAAACAATTATCTATTTTCTCATTAGCTGCCCCTTGGCATCCTCTTTTGATCCGTGGAAGAGGATAAAGAGAATGTCCCCAGTGATTCCATGAACGCAGAGGGACGGTCTCATCATTCATGGCTTTTTAAAAAAAGCCTGCATACAAAAGCAAACCTAAGAAAGAACTGCCTGCCCACTAAAGCAAACACTAGAAACTGTCCCACAGTTAAGTAGGTCTTGCAGACTCAGCACAGTCACCGTCATCACCAACCAGCACTCCCCTGGCGGCTGGTGAGGTGCCAGGGAAAAGAATCAACCCTAGTGGAAAAGGGACATGCAGCCCAGGGCTGGGTGTAACTGACCTACTTAGTCAAGTGCATGTGGGGAGGGTGGATACTTTGAAGACATTCTGTCTTGCATGTGGGTTACGTTCAAGACAGACACACTTGGAGCAGATGAATAGGATCAAAGATCCCCAGCAGCAGGTGGAACTAGGAACATCTGCTTCCTTGAGTCCTTTAAAGAGCTATGGTGATGTAGATCACAACATGTGTGCTGCTAACCCGAAGGTCAGTGGTTCGAATCCATCAGCTGCTCCAAGTGAGGTAGTCTGGGTAAGGTTATAACTGATAACCTCGGAAATATAATGGAGCGTCGTTGTGAGTCAGAATGGATTCACTGGCTTGGGTTTTAGTGCCAAGGGGTTTCGACTATGACAGAAGAAGGGTTGCACTCAGATTTAGCAGGCCTTCACTTTACCCCAGCTGCTCTTTCAACAGTAGTTTTTTGTGCGGAAATACACAACAATTAACAATCCAGTAGGATGCGTCAGAGGTAGGCACTGTAATGAATTCGGCACCCAAAGCCTTTCGTGGGGATTTTGCATAATAAGGAAGTGAGCAAGAGGTCTGCTCTTAGCACTTAACATATCCTCACCCACTATTTCCCTCAGAGCCAGGCAAGGGAAGTCCTGTCCTGTCCCTCTAGATGGCTGGTGGTCTAGTATGCTAAATGCTGACCTACTAACAGAAGGTTAGCAGTTCCAATCCACCAGTTGCTCCAAGGGATAAGCTGTCTCGTCCTATAAAAATGAAAGGTCACTATGGGTCAGGACTGACTGGGTGGCAAGAGGGTTTTCAATTTGGTCCAGCTGTCCCATTCCCCACAGTGTGAAGAATCTGAGGCACCCAGAACCGAGCCCCCTGCCCCTACTATTCTGTGGCTGAGGTATCTGGAGATCCAGAATTTCCTATTCAGCTGATTATTACGTCATCTCTAGATCTGTCCAAGTCTCGCTCCTCATCCCTAAACCTTCCAGTGTCCTGAGGCCTGCACTCCTGAGGCGAACCTGGGTGTCAGTGCACATACTCCCCAGCCTCAGGACAGGCCATGCTAGACTGCCAGTGTGGGATGTGGAGGCTCTGGATGCCCAGGCTAGGAGACCAACCTCACAGTGTGCACAGAGCGAGGCTGAGAGGAGCAGATACGGCAGCCCAGAACTACCTCCTACTGGACTGTCAGGTGCTGCTTGTGTTAGTGGGGACTTCTGAGGAGTCCCAAAATTCTCCATTTACACCCAGATTTTCATGTCATCCTGGAGGGAATGTTATACCTACTCAGAAACCTAACTACTTATTCAACTTATCTGTGGTTATTTTTTATTATATATTTATTAGGTGCCATCGAGTTGAGTACGACCTGTAGCAACCCTAAGAACAACAGATGGGAACCCTGTCCTATCCTGTGCCAACCTCACAATCTCTGACACACTCGAGCCCAATGCTGCATCACTGTGTCAACCCACAGAGAGGTTCTTCCTCTCCTTTGCCAACTGTCCTCCTTTGTAAGCATGATGTCATTTTCCAAGGAAGAGCCTCTCCTAGAAATACGCCAAAGGTACGTGGGATGAAGTTTCTCCATCCTTGCTTCCAAGGAGTAATCTGGCCTCATTCTCTCTAAGACTTCTGTTTTCTTGGTAGTCCATGGATATTCAGGAATATTCTTTAGCACCACAACTCCAAGGCACAAATTCTTCTTCTGTCAGCCTTAGTCACTGTCCAGCTCTCAGATGCAGAACAAGTGATTGGATGATTGAAAAGACCATGGTCTGAATCAGGAGCACGTTAGTCCTCACACTAACACTGTCTGCGGTTAGACAAGGGCTGACCGCCCTGTGGGCCTCCTTCAGTAGTCACGCTGTAGGTCTGAAAATGGTCAGGGCAGCCCTGCCTCCTCCTCGCCACCTTTCCAATTCTGCCCCACGTCATGCCGGAAGGAGCACCTCAAGTCCTGCTTCCTTCTCAAGGGTGTGGAACAGCACCCATGGCCGCTCTGTGGCCACTGAGTACCCGCAGGACCGCTACTGGGGCTGAAGAACCAGATTTGAGTGATTTGATCTAAATTCACTCAGTGAAAAAGTGAAATTTTTTTGTTGCTTTAACTGCCTTCACGGAAAGTCAGAGCTATGCTGAGATTCCTTGCAGGTCCTGCACGGACATGGACTGAAATGTACTGCTTAACAGGTAAATATAGTGGCATAAAGGATTAGGCTGCCAACCAAAAGGTCAGTAGTTCAAATCCACCAAGTACTTCCAGTTAAGACTCCCAGCCTGGGAACCAGCAGGAGGGACTCTATGAGTCAGAACTGACTTAATGGCCGTAGAGTTTACTTACTTATTTGTTTAATAGTTAGCATTTATCATACTTCGGCAACTTGTAGGATATCTGTTCACTGCAGAACATAATTGTTCAATTATAGGGTGCTCTGAATTGGAGGGTACAGCAGCCATGGACTTTGATAACTAACTGGTTTCCAATGAAACTGAAGATTACGCAAACCTTTGTAATTCTTTAAATGAACCTAAATCACCTTAGGCTGATTAGAAAGCAATTTACTTGAAATCTCTGTCTGGTCCTCCTTTATAAGAAGAGTGTTACTACTTGAAGTGGGAGCAGAGTTGATGCCCCTGACCCTTCTCTGACTAGAGGACGGAGGACCAAGTTGATCTGGAGCCACTCTGCTGTGTTCCTCTTCCTCTCCTGAAATCCCATTTCCTCATCTGTGGCATGTGGACCAGCCTCTCACGCCCTCCCAGTCAGCTCCCGGTGTTCTCTGAGGCCGGACCAACCTGCGAGGGCCTGACCATGACCCGACGACCCCATTCTCTAAAACCAAAACTTCTTCTTTCTTTCTGGATAATTTGAGGCAACCACTGCAGCCTACTCCATGCCGCACGAAGTTTCCAGAGAGTGCTGGCCGGCTGCCCAGGTTTCCTCAGAAATTGGGGGGGTATGGAGCCAGGCGATTGTTTTTAGTCTCTGAGCTACTGACTTCCTTCCTGTGCCCATGGAGGGACGCAGGGAGTGTCACCCATGCACTCTGGAGGGCTGAAGATCTGCAGAGACCACGATATTTAAGGCAAACATTTTTCAGCACTGTCAGAAAACAGAACCTTTCTTATCAATGACAAGGTTTGGTCTCAAGGTTCTGAAGAGCCTCATTCCTAAAAAGCTAAAATTGCTCAAGTTGTAAATTAGTTCACTCATAGTGGGTGGGAGACAAAAAAATAAATCCTATTCTCATGAAGGCATTAGAGTTTTGGCTTTCTGACTTGTCAGCAATCAAGTGCTGTGTGCCCAGACTCAGAACATGTCATGATCTCAAATTTCTAGTCCATTCCAGGAGGCAGGCACCACAAAGAAGTCCAAGAGAATTCAGGGAAATAACTCTTAAGAAATCTAATGATGTCAAATTCTACTCCTGAGAGTGAGGATGAAGGCCCTCAAGATCTGACAATTCCACAGAGTAGCTAAATAGAAACCACTCAAGTATTAAGAGTGCTGAAAGCAAACAACACAAAGAGAGACCAGGGTCACCAAGTTGTCGTGGGCGGAGGCTGAGTGGCTTACCTGTGATATAAAAGCTTATGTTTCGTTTTGCCATTCCTATTTTATTGAAAGCCATGCAACTGTAGATCCCGGGTATTCGAGCCTCAGCCACGACCAATGTGCTAGCAGTCTGCAAGAGAAAAAAGAAACTTTAGCTAATAGCAGGACAAAGGACCAGTGGGAGATCCAGAAGATGTTTCTGAGGGTTGAAGCAATTCAGCCATCCTATTCATTCAGCAAAGACAGTTCTTGGTGGCAGAGGCACCCTGAAGGCTCTCTCCCTGCTATGCCCCAGCAAGAATGGAAAAATAACAGGAAAGCAGGTCCTCAGGAGACCGGGGGCTATGACATCAGACTCTAACGAGGGCTTCAGACTTACTGCTGGTGCAACAATTAGCGGGACAAACCTGAGATGTGGGACCACACGTCCTACAGAACAGGAGGGCTGCAGCCCCACAGCTATGGGAGGAACAGATGGGGTTCTGGAGATGCTTCCTAATAAGAGGACCAAGAACACGGACCAAGAGGCAGGTTGGCCAAGCTAGTTTTCCCGTCTGCTCAAAGAATGGCTAGGTGCCATCGCATAAATTCCAACATATCTCGACCCCACATACAACAGGATAAAACAGTGCCCAGTCCTGTGCCAACCTCTCGTTCATTGCTATGTTTGAGTCCACTGTTCAAACTACTATGTCAGTCCTTCTTGGTGAGAATTTTTCTCTTTTTTCCTGACCCTCTACTTCCTTCACCAAGCATGACTTTCTTCTTCAGGGACTGGTCTCTTCTTCAAACATGTCCAAATTGTTTATGTCAGACATATCTTTTTACTTCGGGCAAAAAAATGTGCTAGGCTGCCCATAGGGACTGCCTGAGGAGACCAGAGGTGGGAAAATCTTAGAGAGGGTGTGCACAAGCTTAGGAACGCCCTACTTCTCAGTCCCAGTGATTCTTACATGGACAATGAAAGGAGAGGATGTTATGAATGAATGTAACAGAGCTACGGCATCCAATCTTAGAAGTGCTCGTGAACAAACCAGCCCCTAAAGAAACACCAGAGATACAGCTTTTGTGAGCTCAGAGGCTCTTTCCAAAACTGTGATTTCTCAAGAAGCAGTGAAACCAAGCAATGAAAATTTCTCCAGTTTAAAACACTTCCCTTCCTGTCTTTTTTGAACCAGAAAAATGAACAATGTGGAACAAATTATTGAGGGTTCTTAAATGGAAGCCAACTTAAAAAAAGAGTAATGAATACTGTACATGCGGATATGCAGAAAAGCTAGTGAGTTTGTCATACTTAAAACTAAAAAATAAAAAAAGGTGTATCAAGCTTTTTATCTATCTTTAAAGGCTGTCTTTAGCACACAAAGCATTGGTCTTGGGCTTTGGAACTAGAGGCTGATCTGACAGGTTCAGACTAATAATGACATGTTCAGAGTAAGTTTGGCTTTGATGAAGTATGGCGACTGACTGACTGATAAGTCAAAGTAAAGTGCAAGCTGAAGAGTGACTACAGACATCTTCAAGAGTTGATCACAAGCCACTCAAGTGTTTCAGAGACCAAAGCGCTCAGACACTACTGGCAGGAGTGTAAAATGTAACCACTAGGGAAAGCAGTTTGCTGCTTTCTTAGAAAATTGGGAATAGAAATATCATTTGATCCAGCAATCCCAATGTTGTTATGGGCCATTTTTTGCCCACGACTCATGGCAACCCTATGTACAACGGCTTGGAAGCCTGCCCTATCCTGAGGCAGTCTCACTGACTCCAATACACCTAACGCCACTGCCCCAATTACTGTGACAATCCATCTCATCTGAGTCTTTCTCTCCTGTGCTGTCCCTCCAGCCTTTCAAGTAATCCCAAGAGTAGGTATATAAACTCCAAACTCAAAATTAGTGCTCTCATTTCAGAACTGATTCAGAGCTGGTCCTCCGGAGTTTTCAGAGGTAGTGAACTACATGGGAGGAGACTACCTACCTTTCTCCTGCAAAGCCACAGGTAGATTCAGACTGCCAGACAGGAGCTGCATTTAGGTTAGCAGTGCAACTTCCTATTGACTTTGCCATCTGAGTTCCCTGCTGGGTATATATTCCAAAGGAATAAGAGCTGTGGCACAAACTGATATACTTACACTCATGCCCTATTGCAGCATTATGTACAATAATAGCAAAGTGATGGAAACAACTCAAATTCCTATCAATGGACAAATGGTTAAAAAACTATGGTACATTCACACAATGGAGTATTATGTGTCACTTTAAAAATGATTAAAATTTGAGAAATACTGCGTAACATGGAAATGAGAACACATTACACCAACATAAGTTAGTCACAAAAGGACAATTATGGTGTAAGACCAATATAAGAAGCTGAAGAAAGATTTATACATCGATAGAATCAATCTCAGAGACAGAGATGAGAAGCAAGGGAGAAGGGGAAAAATGTATTGTGTTAATGTAAAATGCTTCTCCCTAAGTCCAATGCAGCCACCTCCCTTCCCCAACAGTCCCACTGTCTCTTCTCCTGACCCTCTTTCCTTTTAAAATGAAGACTTAAGAAAAAAGAAAAACAAGTGCTTTAGGTCACTGGGAATAGTCCTGACATTTTCCAAGTTGTTAAATAACTACAGTGTCATGCCTGGTATAGTCGAGGGACCCTGAATGAGGAAGACCCTCAGCGAGATGGCCTGGCTGTGACTGCACCCACAGGCTGACACACGGCAAAGACCGTGAGGATACTGTGGGATCAGAGGTGGCCTTGTTCTACTGTACAAGGACCTCTAACAGTAACAACAAAACAAGGTGCCCGGAGTCCTGGTGGCTCAGTGGTTAAGCACTAATGAAAGGCTGGCAGTTTCAATTCGCTCAGCAGCAACACAGGAGAAAGATCTCCTTCCACAAACATCTCACACATGCTGCTGTCATGTTGATCCCTACTCACAGCAGCCTGGAGAGCAGAGCAGAACCACCCTGGAGGGTCTCTACAGCTCTAAATCTTTACTGAAGCACACTGCCACCTATTTATTTCCTCCCCACCAGGGGTCCTTTAAACGCCCTAAAGGTTACTGCCCCCATGGGACAGTGCTACCTTGTATGTGGGTCACCATGAGTGGGAACTGACTCGATGGCACACAACAACAAGAAGCAATGTACTAGTCACCCAATAAATTAGGGTATTTCCGCCTAGGGTATTTCTCAGGAAGGAGAAGAAAAAAAAAAAAACCAAAACATGCTCCTAGTTTTTTTCTTAAGCTAGTAAGTTCACAAGTTCATGGCTTTATATTTTCTGTAATTTTCACTATGGTACAATGATATGGTCCCTTGCAAGTTTTGTTGAAAGGAGGTATTTCATGTACCCATGTTAGAAGCCCTGGTTAGTGTGTAGTTAAACTGGTTGGTTGCCAACTTCAAGGTCAGCAGTTCAAGCCTACCAGCCTCTCTGCAGGAGAAAAACAAGGCAGTGTGCTTCAGTAAAGCCCTTAGAAACTCTTTGGGGAAGTCCTGCTCTGTCTTATGGAGTTGAAATTGACTCAGTGGCAGTGGGTTAATATGTTCTCAATGTATTATTGAAATTACTTGTCATGAAAGTAACTATACAATGTGGTATGTCTTAAAAGCACAGACATTTATTGGGACTTATCAAATATTGCCCTGAGGTGAAGGTGGAAATGGATCTGATACATTCTCTGCACCTTACAACCTTGAAGATAAGTGTAATATAAAAGAATTTCCATGCTTGAAGATCAGATATATACACTAACCTCTCTTTTGCAGAAAGACACCTGCTTGAAGGCAAACAACAATGGAGATGAGTATTATCATATAAAAATCCGGCGTGAAAAACAATGTATTCGAACTTTGTAAATAAACCAGTATAAAATTAAAAAAAAAAAATAAATAGAGTTGGAGAATTGAATTGAATAATTCTAGATAATAATTTCTTTTTAATTATTGTATCCTTCACTTAAGAAAGTAATGGGGGAGAGAAAAAAGAAGTCTGTAGGTGACAAAATCAAAGAACTGATAACTTGTTTGGTGGGAACACAAATCATTACATAACACCAATTCCCTAAGGGAGGAAGGAGAATACCTGTATGATTGCTTCCATGAGCCTCCCCTGCCATGAGATCAAGACTGTATTGTGCCTTGACTACCACACTGAACACTTTCTCTAGAAGAATCCTGATAAAAAGGAGGGGAAACTGCAAAACAACATTAAAAAAAATTCTCACTGGAATCTGACTTTTTGGCCATTGAAGCTGAATTAGCTTCCAAAGTGAAGGCTCTGAGACAATCTTTAAACGTTAAAACAATACTATCCCCTGAAGTCTTCTTTGAATGAAAAAGTTTAATAAACTAAGTTGGTTTTGAGCATTATGCTGTTTACGTGAAATCAGACAGACAATGGGAACTAGAAAAGCTGATAGACTATACATAGAAGGTAGTAGTTTAAGATTATGGCACTAAAATAATGTGGGAAAGTATAGTGAAAATGCTAGTACCACTTAAAGCATGTACCTAGTACACTGAATTCTTCATGTAGAAATTGTTAAAGTGCTGTATCTTTGGCTGTGTGTACTTTCACAAAAATAAAAGACCGATTTCTTAATTTTTTTCTTTCCCTATGGAACCCAGGTTCAGATGCTTCAAAGATGTCTGTCACAAGTTTAGGATCAGGGGGTGGAAAGGAGGCCAGCCAGTTCCAGCCTCACTGCTTGCCTCTCACCTTAAGCTATCTTGTTTCTAGAAAGTCCATTATCAGATATTAACCCCACTACACTTGCTCAAGTTGTATCTGGGTTTTGAGTAATGTTACTTTTCTGTCTGTTTGCTGTGAGCAGTGAACACTTTCAAAGATTTTTCTTTGTGAAATCAAATTGTTTACTGTAACACCAAAGCACAGAGATGTTTAGGAAGTTACGTGTCTAAGTCAATGATGGTAAAACAATATGGTCAGTTAAATGTCAGATGCCATCAACTCAGCTCAGAGCCCTCCATGTTCCAGAACAAGTCAATGCACCACCTGTTCCACCATCATCACTGCTGTGCTCATTGCTGTCACCACTGTTTCTACTGACTCTCTACCCTCTACTGCGTAGATTGTGAGAATGTGGACATAATATGCAAAACA